TTTGATAAAAAACCGACCCGAAACCGACCCATGCACACCCCTAGAATTCGCACGTGTTGTTATGACCCAACGCGGTAATAGGCTATAGGACTTGGGAGGAATCTGTTCATTTGACCGCCCATGGTGTCTTCCATGCCAAAGACGTGATCTTTCTTGACATGGGAAACGACAAAGAAGAGTAATTCAATCAATTAATCACATTCCTACTAAGATGATATATTTATATATTATAATAAATAATAATGTGACATATTTATTTAATAAAATAATAAATAATTATTTAAAAATATTATATAAATATAAAATGATATATAATTTTTTGATTTAAAAATATATTTAGTTAATAATAAAAATATAAAAAATTTAATATAACATAATATATGGATAAAAATTTATTAAAATAATTGAAAATTTTTTGAAGTGTTTGAGCTTTCATCTAATTCGTACAGCTTACAACTCAATAAGGACTAAGGTCGATGAAAATTTTGAATAAACTTGAATGAGAAATGGTACAAAAGGACCCTAATTTTTGTACTAGTATTTTAAAGGCTTTGAAAGTCTAAGAGGTTGAAGGGTCAAAACACAAAAGGCAGCAGTCCAAACCGCTGCATCTGCTCGTCAACTTCAGACCAGTCAACCTGGACTACGGCAGGTTCTCACTGCCGGCCAAATTTGACATATATTTCACGTGAATTTAATCCAGTTTTTTGGCATCAACACATGCGGTTTTTTGTTTGGCTGAGTTGTGCTTCTTGCCCTCTTAATGAGTTCAACTGATCGGGTTGATGGACTCCTGTTTTCATCTTGGGAAGGTTGCGGCTGAATAGAATATACGGCCCCGCCCTCCTATTGGTCTACCAGTGAAAATTCAACCAGAAATTGAAAAAGACATGCTTAACAGTATGTGGGAGTCTGAGTAATGGGGCTAAGTGGCTAATCCTGGTGAACATGAACAGTCCCATGCCAAAGCCTTAAATGCTCGACGAATTCTCATACTCAAAATATACAGCAAGAAACATTTTGAGCTCAAGAACAAAAAACCTTTCCTTCTGAAGTGAAATGAATCCAAACTCAATAATTCATATACACATATAGTGATGGTTGTCATGAATTTGCCATATCCAATAGCACTTTCTTTATTATTTCAGTAAAAGAGAATAGTGTAGTTCCGACATCATTTTCCATGGATTAAAACCGGCTGTGCCCCTTTTCTAGATCCTGCGTATGTGATGTGAAAGGATGTTAGTGGTATTCGTACATGTACGTTGAAGACAAATGGCTACGGTAGAAAACCTAGTACTCTGGAGCTTTGTCCTTAAGCAGAAACGACGAAAGAGAATTGTCAGCTGAGTTGGGACCACGGGCGGAGCGTCGCTTTGTAATGGTTTATTGAATAATAAGCCTCTCAAAATTTTTAAATTTTTTTATATATTATATATTTTTTAAAAACTTTTTATTAAATAATCAATATAATTAAAAAATAATAAAATAATTTTATATATTTTATTTAAATTTTAAATTTTTTTTATTTTTTAAATTTCTCTACTCATATTTTTTTTGTTCTTGTATTGTAAAATTATAAAAAATAAAGTTTTTATTTATTTATATTATTATTATTATTATTTATTTCAATTATATTTTATTTACTCATATATTTTAAGTTTCTATAATTTTTTTTTAAATTTTTACGAATCATTAATTATATATTTTTTTGTTATATATGTTATATTTCCTACTTATCATGGTTTTTTTCTCTATTATGTGAATTTTATTTTTAACGATTTTAATTTTTAAAAATTAAAAAATTATTATATATGTAATTCTCAAATATAAGTTTTAGTGTTACATTATTGGTTATTGTTTAAAATTTAACTAATATAATATTTTTATTAATCCTAATTAGATAAGAAAAAATTATCTTGAGTATATGTTTTTAATATGCTTTACATTTTATATTTCGTTAAAAGGAAATTATCTTGAGTATAAGAAGAAAATATTAATTTTGTATATCGTATTTAACTATTTATATTTTATACACTATAGTTTAATATTTAGTATTATAAACTTAAATATAATAAAATAAAAATATTAAATATTGATAATATTAATTTTTTAGTCGTTTATATTAAGAAAGACAAGATTTCAAAAAAAAATGAATGATAAGTTTTTTATAAATAATTTAGTTGTTTATATTAAAAAAGATAGTGTTATCACTAAATAAAACTTTCTTAGAACAGTATTATAAGTTTTTTTTTTATTTTTTTTATTTATATGTTATATAAAATTATTATTTATTATAAATCTTTTAATTATTAATGATTAAATTTAATATATTAACTTTAAAAATTTTTAACTTTTATTTTTTAAAACTTTTGACCTCTTTAATAAAAATTAATTAACTCCGTCCTTGGTTGAGACCTTAGGCCGGTGGAGGGTGGGCACAACTTCGCTTGAAAGCTAAAGAGTATCATGGTTTGTCTACTCACTGCTGCAAAAAGAATAGAGGTTGTGTTCTGTATCTTACAATGAAATGACTTTGCATGAAATGAGGATGGACATAGTGCTTGAAAGATAAAGAGTATCATAACCTGTCTATTCACTACTATAAAAAAGAATTAAAGTTGTGTTGGGTGTTTTACAATGTAATGACATTACAGGAAATGTCTAAATATAATGGAGAGGGTGGACACAACTTGCTTGAAAGAGAAAGAGTATCACTACTGTGAAAAAGAATTAAGGTTGTATTCGGTGTCTTACAATGTAATGACATTGCAGGGACCGTCTGAATGTAATGGGCTTGCAGGTTTTGCCATATCCTGTATAAATTTAACGGAAGAATGTCTGATTGTAATGGGCTTTGATCAGCATTTATAAGTGGATCAAGGCTTGAAAAATTGTTAGGCAGTTAACTTCGGGCCTAGGTTGTTTTCCATTTAAGCTAATGGGCTACTGGAGTCGAACAGCAAACCCAACTAAGAACTTGTTGGGTTTGGCTGGAACTGGAAACACCTCGTACCTTGGGAGAAACTTGGAGGGTTTAAGCGGTGTACAACCATTGACATCAACCAACTGTGCTAAAACCCTAACCCGTAAGATGGAACTTCAATCTGTTTGTCTTGGATTTCCTGTCCCAAAGTTCAAATTGTCCAATCATTGTCGCTTCTCTCACCAATCTGTAAGTAAAGTCTCACTCAAGTTTGTTACATTCTTCGTGTAAACCTCACCCTTGCTCCTATTTATTTCTTTTTTTCATTAATTTTGTGAAAGCCAGAAACTCACTCTTGTCTCCAATGATTCGAATTTTGAAGGCTCCTGCAAGTGACCTCGTATTAAGAAATGGAAATGTTCGGCTTGGAGATGTCTCAAAGTGTACATTTTTGCCTCATCATCTTGGATTTTTTGTGGTGTGAATGCTTGTTCTGCCTGCTTTGATGATTGAACTAAAAACAAAATTCATTTTTTAATTCTAAATTCAGGGTGTTCGATGCCTAAAGTGAAGAGCTTTCATAGATACTGTACATTGTGGAGTTTCAACAGAGGAGGAATAGTGTGTGCTTCTGGTTCTGATCAAAACTCAAGCTTGAAACTTACTGGGAGGGAGAATTCCGGTGTGGCTATTAGTAGGTTTGGTGGGGTGGAGCCGTTTCGTGGCAAATCAGGTTCTGTTTCATTTCATGGGATAACTCACCAGCTGGTGGAAGAGAGCAAATTGATGTCAGGTCCTTTCCAAGAAGAAAAAGGGTCCTTCCTCTGGGTTTTGGCACCTGTTGCTTTGATTTGTTCATTGATTCTTCCACAGTTTTTCTTCAGCAATGCAATTGAGACTTTGTTTAGGGACGAGACACTCGTAGGTATTCCAAATTTCTAATTCAACTTATCCTTTTCCTTGCTTTGATGTTAGATGGTTTTCTTGAACTGGTTGCTTCCTTTTAGTTGAATGTCATGTTTGGGGCTTCGCATCTCTGCATCCTGATGCAGATGGGGTGAGATAAAACATGTTAAGTCTTATAGTGTTAAGTTTTTGTTTGAATTTTGCGTGGGGGTGAAAAGGCTGACGGAGCTCCTCTCAAGGTCGAAGGCTCAATTGACCAATTTGACCAGGAGCTCTTTTCATTGTTTATGTTACTATGTTATGTAATTCTTTTGCATAATTATATTGTGCAGAGATTGTGTCTTCTTTGTCCTTTGAAGTGATGTTCTATATTGGTCTTGGGATGTTCCTGCTTGTGACCGATCATGTTCAAAGGCCATATTTGCAATTCAGCGCAAAGAGGTGGGGTCTGATTACTGGACTCAGGGGCTACCTAACATCATCTTTCTTCACAATGGGTTTTAAGGTTGTTGCTCCCCTCTTTGCCGTCTACGTAACTTGGCCAGTGCTTGGCTTCCCAGCCTTGGTTGCGGTGGCTCCTTTCCTGGTGGGCTGTGCTGCTCAACTTGCATTTGAGAGGATTCTTGATAAGCGTCAGTCATCTTGTTGGCCCCTGGTTCCTATTGTTTTTGAGGTATTTGGTGTTTTAACTGATTGTGATTCATTCTGAAGACCGGATAAGATGATTGATGACTTTATAATTGATTTTTCAGGTTTATAGATTGTATCAGTTGACCAAAGCTACTCAATTTATACAGAACTTTATGTTCTTGATGAAAGATTCTCCCAGAACCCCAGAGATGATGGAGAGAGGTAGGGCACTTGTCGGGATGGTAGTAACTTTCCAAGTCCTAGCCGTGGTTTGCCTTTGGTCATTCATGACATTTCTCCTACGGCTTTTTCCTTCTAGACCAGTTGCAGAGAACTATTGATGTTCGCAACGGTGGTTCCCTAGATATCCATGCATGTTCGTCTAAAGTACATAATAGGATAAAGTGTTTTGGGTCACTGCCGAAAATGGGATTACAGTTAGTAAAAGGTTGAATCAAGAAAAAGAAAGGTGAAGTTTGTGATGTTACTCGAATGCTAGTAGTTCTAACTTCTAATTATAGCCTTTTATTATCTTCCTTCAGACGAAAGAATGTTTCAATGAGTATTTGCTTGTGTTGATACAGAGAGGCATTGTTTATTTCTTTCTCACATTGTTCGAATCTTGATGATATCACTTATTCTTGAACTGAACTGCTGTTCTTCCAAACTCGACAAAAAACTACTCTCTTCACCAGGAACCCTTACTGTAATAGTACCCCTAAGGCCTTTCTTCCTGGTCTTAACGTCCAAACTTATAGTGCACGTGGATAGCTTTTGAAAGAAGGGAGGAAGAGGGTAAACCAAAAAATTTTGTACTTTTCTTTGCCTTTCTAAAATTTCAATCATACACTATAAAACACTTTGGACTGGGGATCCAAGGTACCCAGAATTCTGCAAGGAATGCAAATCTTACATGTAAATGTTCTGAGAAGAATTAAGCAAACTAGTTCATGACCTCGAGGGTTTGGATATTTGTTTGAGGCGATTTGCCATTTTCTCAGCTCCTTTGATCTGGTTATTGTTTTTCTCTCCAAAATTCTGACCCAGGGATGGGCTTTTGGTGGATTTCAAGCTGAAAAACTTCACAAAACTCCTTAATCAAGGACTTGTACGAGATATCAATCAGCTGAAAATCATCAGGATTCTGTGTTTCTGCTCTTCTGGATGACTGGAATTCTTTAAGCAACCCCTTAATACTTCCAACCTGACGATCCTGTAATCCACATGGGACTATCCAGCTGAAGGGAGTCAGGTCTGTGGTGACATTAAGTGCTAACCCATGGTATGTTATCCACTGAGATACTCTTACTCCAATTGCAGCTAATTTCTGATTCCCTGTAGCAAAAATTAATAGCCAAATGATCAGCAGGTCAGGTTATTTCTCTTAAGAAAAATTAGATCAGAACAAATGATGTTGGTACTTTTGATACAAGGGCTGTTGTCTTGGACAATGGTGAAATCTTCATATTGCCAAGCAGCTAACAACATGAAAGTGCATGGTTTGAGACTCTCACCCTTCCCATGAGGTCAAGACCCTCATTTGGATATGAAGTTACTATTGATAAGAGAATTACAAACCATAATGATTGCTTGCTGTCTTAATTTGACGGCCTAATATAAGTAGAGTCAGTCTAATAAACCTACTTGCTCCCTGCATTTACAGTTTCGAGCAAAAGATACACAATGCAATAACAAGTAAAAAATGACAACCATATGTATCTTCCCTTTGCCTGTGATGTCCGACTGTAAAATTTCAGTTGAAAGGCATTGAGGGGTGAACACTGTGAAAGCATAACTGACAAACTTAGAACAGATGTGCTCAACTGTTCAGCAACTGGAAATGCAATCACAACCTATCAAACATTGAAAGAGTAGAGCAACTCCATTTTCGAAGATGTAAACAGTGCAAAGTTTCAATCTCATATAAACCTAGCAGGAAGAGAGAAGAATCACATTATGAAAACAATGCAAGCATCAAGTGAAAGAGATAAGAAATCTTACCAACCCAAACACCCGTTAAACCCTCAATCCTTGAAGCCTTAATAGAAAATGTTGATGAAAGAACACGAATCACCACCTCCTCAAGTGCCCTAAGATACCAATGAAGATCCATCTTGTGATTCCGAAGATTAATAATGGGATACATAACTAGCTACATTTCAACACAGGAAGTAAACAGAAGAACAAAATAAGTCAGTCCGAATAGAATATTACCCTGAAATCAATAGCTACATCCAGCTTGAAAGTAAAAACTATACCTGTCCAGGGCCATGGTATGTAACTTCCCCGCCGCGTTCAGTTCGATAAACGTCAAAAGGAGCTTCCTCTATGTCAAAATTCAGATACTTTTCCGAGCTACCGGTGCCCATTGTATAAACAGGGTTATGCTGAAGAATGATTAATGTATCTGGGCAATCCTCGTTTCTTTGAAGCAATGCTTTCTTCTCTTTAACAATTTGTTTTTGCCAAGACCATGCCTTTGCATATGGAAATAGCTCCTTGTGCAAATCATAACACTCGCAACTGTTGAAATGGAAGTTAAAAAGCCTGAATTTCATGAGCTGGAAATAAATGAAATTTGTATGTGAAAATGCTTGAAAAAAAGGCATGAGGAAACTTACGCTTTTGTTTTTGTTTGAGTTACTGGGTTGAATCGGTGAGGTTCCTTTCGATGCTTTACGGCTGTGCATGTTGTTGGGATTGTTCTGAAACAAGGATTTGGTGCAAGAATCATAGCTTATGAATCTCGGTAACTAAGCATTAGTGAACAATTTGGGCTTTTTTCTGAAATGCTAATAGTTCCGCTCTGGAAGCGAAGAAACCGAAGATGTAATGAATGTGCAGATGCATCTGGGCCGTTGACAATTTGGTTTGGTGATCTTAAGGTTAATTTAGACATTTCACTTGCTGACTTCTGGTCTATTTTGTACTTTCAATACTCAGTTCTTAACAGAGGAGCCCTAATCAAACCAGCTATATAGGTAACTGATGCAGAAGATAGTAAAGCCGTCACCTTGAAGTCATTCGCTGCTGCCTCGGCTGCGATTATTTAACATGTAAATTCAGCTGAATGAGATTCCATTGATGGGGCTTTTCTCTGTGATGAGAAAAGATGATGATGAGTCTGATCTCTTCGTCTACTCCATCCACCTTGACGACAAATCGAGGCATTTGTCTGAGAGAGAAAGATCCCCTCTTGTCTATTGCCTTCTATGAATCTCTGTTTCTCAAGATGCCTACTTCTTTGCTTCCCAAGATAATTCTGGGAACTGAAAAAAAGAAAAGTCCCAATATTTAGATTTCAAAATCGACAACTCTTGTTTGAATTGCAAAAGCAGATTATGTTCCAATAGTTTGCGGCGATGATGATTGAAAAGACCTTTTATTTTCTGAGGCATGTCCTCTGATAGAGTCTCAAGCACTTTTGAGCCGCATATCTTAATCAAAATCACGGAAAACTTTTTGTACCAGTGTATTTGTATTTGTTTGTCTATAAAAACAGAGTTAAATACAGCTCTTCATGGGCAACCATTTGATCAGGACCAGTTCATTTTCATGTTAAAATCTCATGATTCCGTTCAATGAAGTCCCTATGTGATTCTCCTTGAAAGGGTCTATGGTGATGTAAATGCAACCAGGTTTGTTTGAGAATTCTGGATGTTTATACTGGGTGAGAAGTTGCTTCTTGCCTGGGAAATGCTTACTGTACAAGATTTCATACTCTGATGCATCTTTTGCATTGAAATTTCAATGTAGTGTTTTGACCCAATGATCACCGCACACTTCTTTAACAGGTGAGAAATGAGAGGCAAACACTTAGCTGTTAAAATCCCACTTCTTGGAGGATAAAAAAAAGAATCTTCTCCCTGGTACCAATGCGAAATTTTGTGGATCTTTTCTTTCAGAATGTGAGATGTTTCTTGGAAGTGACATGGAAAGAATGTCTTTATAGTCTTGTACATCTTTTCATTCTGTGAAGTATCCTCTGACATGTAGATTCGAAACCTGGAGAGTGAACCGACGGTCAATTTGATTTCAGACGCCTCAAAGGCAGACGAAACGTGGAAGGTGAACTAGCGGTAGTGGTTACAGCCAACCTAAGACTAGAGGACAAAATAGGATCAAAACTAAAATCCAAAAAGACAAAAATAAGATCAAGTTGAAGAGCAAATTAACGGCAGTGAAACCTGGGATTGTGCTGTTTGATTTGCTCCTCTGATGAGAAATCAGCACGTGTCGCCCCCGACTATCTCTTCCTTGACGGAAGCACGAATCACCCAGCCGGCACCCCTCTCACGTATCCAAAACTGGACAGAAACGAACCCTTGTAGTTGCGGGCTGACACACTGTTCGGCTCACAGAGAAACTGAGCCCACACGCATGAATTGGAAAGCGCCACGTGGACTAATAGCATTGTCTGTCAAATTTTGATACCAGAAATTCAAAAACCTACCTCTCCAAGAAACAGTGCAAGAAGCCCGACCCGTATGACGACAAGTACAGCTAATATACTGCGAATCTTCCCGTTCCAGTGCATGGTATAAAATGAATAGAGACCCCCCACCAAGACCAATAGCAAAAAAAGGTTCAAAAGACATCCAATTTTCTAAGCCAAATAACAATGGCTACCACTAGATTGTTGCGTTCGTCTACTAAGCCCTTGGGTCGCATTTTTGCTCCTTCTTCTTCTTGGCCTTCTTCGTCAGTGAACAATGTTAGGTGTGTGAGCAAGGGAGGGTTAGATGGGGAGAAGAAAGTTTGTGGGAGTAGTGAGAAGAAACCAATGCTGGCTATGAAGGCGGCTTCTGTGGAAGCAGAGAGTGTGGTCATATCAGAGCCACGAGATGATTGGGGCAAAGAGTTGGCATCTTCGCTCGCAGTTGCTATTAATGCTATGCGTCAGGTGCTGGTGCTGGTTATCAAACCAAGACCTTGGAGATTACATGTTCAGATGCTTATTGAAAAGGTATACCCTGTCATTCTGATTATTAATCCATTCACTTTTCATATGTTTAGTAGTTTGCAAACAGAACAATTAAATTTATCAGCTGCAACCATGCATGCAGGTTATAATTGATTCTCGATTCTCTACCATATTCGCTGTTGCGGGATCTTTATTTGGATCAGTTCTGTGTTTCATGGAGGTAATTACATGCTTTCAAAGGGAAATCCTCACACTTTGTTTTTGTTTTATACAGTAGTATAGTATTTAACTGTGAAAATGACATCCTGCAGGGATGCTTTCTCATTCTGGAGTCATATTTACAGTATTTCCATAGCTTATCACAGAAGTCAGATCCAGAACATATCATCCATCTACTGATAGAAGCCATAGGTATTTCCTTTGTCCATTCATAAATTGTGAAGTTCATTATTGAGTTGACAGTAGAGTATCATTACTGTTAGTTAACTTTTCTGTTCTTTGCAGACATGTTCTTGGTTGGTACCGCAATGCTTATTTTTGGGATGGGGCTGTACATCATGTTTGTGGGATCAGCGAGTATGAAAGGAGGTGCTCCATCGCTTCCAAGGTCGAACTTGTTTGGGCTCTTCCCATTGAAGGTATTCAACTTTTCTTTTATATTTGTGTATACATCACCTCGAAGCATGTTACATGATTTTCTCTACGTTCTTTCAGACACTTCCAGCATGGGTTGAGATGAAATCAGTTTCACAAGCCAAGTCTAAAATCGGGCATGCCGTGATGATGATACTTCAAGTTGGAGTTTTGGAGAAATTCAAGAGTATACCTCTTGTTACTAGCTTGGATCTTGCTTGCTTTGCTGGGGCTGTATTTGTTTCCTCAGCATGCATATTCCTTCTCTCGAGGCTTTCAGTTGGCGGTAGCCAGCATGGGATAGATAGGTAGCCGAGAAGTTTGCATGCTGATACATGCTCATACTTATACCAGAAAGAAGATTGAGTAGAAGAAGAAGAGAAAAGCCCTTTCATTGTTTTGGCCATTAATTCTTTTTGTATCATCACTGATATATACATAGTTGTATAGACGCAATGCTTTCAATTAGATAAGAGAAAAACAAAGAATACCTTAAAGGTAATAGTACATATAAAAGAATAAGCTTCAACATCAAGGAGGTTTGCTAGGCACTGCTTCGCCAATATCAATTCCCCCAAGATCTCTTTCTTATATGTTTCCATCATTTGTTAGAACAATATGTGATTCATTGTAAATCATTTCCTAAGTCGGTAGTCAAATTTATAAATTTTCTTCCTTTATACAGTTATGGGTTTGTCATCTCTTTCATATGCAGTTATTGGTCTCCCCCGGGCTGCAATGGCTTTGGTCAACATCTGATGGGCTGGTTAGGCTGGTCCGTCCAATCAGTTCCATACAGAACTCATTGGGTTAAACCTTTCTCTGCCCAGAAACGAAGCCTTTCTAGACCAGACTCAGCCTCACCTTGCCTGCATGCAATTATTATTTGTTGCGAAAGCCTCCCTCTAAGAACTCCATCAGAGACTCGTCTAGCTGCTGGATGTCATAAAGCATGTAACATAAAATGTTATTTAAGTTCTATGTTTACGTAATACTCCATCAACGAAGCTCTCACACCAAAGAATAAGAAAAGATTATCTTTAGTGATGCTTTTTCCAATTGATTAAAGAGTTAAACAACACTTTACTCAATCTTTTCCATAGAAAATTGCTCAAGTCTAGTTAGAATCCACTGCCACATATAAAGAGGTGGAAAAGCTATGCATATCCACTTGCAATGTTCCATAGTTATTGTTGCCTTTCTGATGATGACGAGTTTAACTTTAATATCACAGCAAATTTTGATTCTAAATATAATGGCGAAATAGTAAAGGAAAAGATTTTATTTGATAAGAGCGATTCCTCGCTAATCTGGAACATGAAATCCTGTTACCGATCATCTCCGTGGATGAAATCCTAAAAGAAGTTTGGAACCAGAAAAATTCAATAGACATTACACCCATTTAGAGTCATCTAAGGTTGCCGGGGTTCGAGACACATGAAACATGTTGTGGCGGTCCTCGTATTGGCGAAGGTGCAGTGGTCACAAGCCCAAGTACCTCGTCTTGCACACATTGCACAAGACGTGGCAGAACCATTGTTTCTATAGGTACAATAAGGACAAATCCATGGTCTCTCGGAAAAGGAAGCCTTTGTGTGTGTAGTGAAGATTTGAGCTCCAGCAACAACGTCAGCAGCATCAGCAGCAGCCTCGGCAGGATTCATTGCCGATTCCCGTCTGGGTTTCTTTGAGACACTTGAAGAATTCAGGGATTTTACATCAGATAGTCCATTCTCTAAAGCTGTGACCAAGTTCTCAAAGTAATTCCTAGTCACCGTGGTGAGCACAGAAAGCCTTTTACGGAAGTCGATGAATTCATTTTCCGAGTGCTGATCTTTCAGGAATGGTCGAAGCTCCTTCTCTGCGCAATCATGAAGCCTTTCCAAGCCAGACTCAGCCTGACCTTGCAAGTACTCAAACAGGTTCCTTTTGGCCGGGTCTTGATCAGGCAAGTAGTACCCATACGCATATGTCCATGCAAGCACCCTTCTACATTCAACTATCTGTTGCCAAGCCTCTGTTAGAAAACTGAGTTGAGTCTCAGGTAGGATTTGAATGCGACCAAGAATCTCTAACTGATTGCTTTGCACATTTTCCATATCGGCAGCAGCCTTTTTCATTGACTTTTGATTCGTCGCCCAACGTTCAAAGTAGTGAGAGTATCTCATCATATATTTCTTTGCCTTTTCTCTCCTTTCCTCTTCGGGATCCCCATTATAACGATTACAAGTGCCATGATTGCTCCAATCTTTAAGACATAGCCAGCAAAATTGATAATAGCAAGGTGCCATACATGACATGTGGGAACAACCCATGTTTTTCTCGATTGGTCTTCTGCATTTGGGACAAGGCTTGGTAAAAGCTAGAATGTAATTCACATTCTCAGCCTCCGAGCTGTTCTTCATTATCCATTTTCTCACAGTTCCGCAGTCCACAGGACGATGAGCTTCTTCACCACAATTCCAACAAAACAAATGAGAGCAAGCACAAGAAACATCGAAAGTTTTACTCCCAGCATC